GAGATCTTGGGCACGCACACACACGTGCCCGGCGTGAGTTTAAGCCACCAGGTCTGGGACTTGAACCACAGTCGACTATGTGGGAGTCTAGCAACATAGCCATTACGCTAACTGCTGGTCCCCCTCCTATTTTTAATGTAGTGAACAATTTTAACTTCTATTATCTGAAATTATTTTTAAGATTCATTTGAAATTTGACTATGGTTCAGAATTCTTTAAAACAGTAAGTAATGAAAAAAGTTATATTATTGGGACCTGCAGGTGACATGGTGGTTGAGGCACTGGACACTCCCACATGGCCAATCATGGTTCAAGTCCTGGACCTGGTGGCTTGCTTTCTCACTTTCTCTCTCTCTCTCTCTGTGTCTCTCTCTGGTCAAATTAAAAATAAATGAATAAATAAATAAACTTAAATAAATAATTCTTTAAAAAAAGTTTTATTATCGTAACATAAATGGCTTATAGTATAGAGATTATTATTAGAGATTATTTTATTTCTATATATGTCTCTGGTCTTAGTCTCTAGCCTGGTATAATGCATGCTGTAAACATAACAATAATAAAAAAAATTTGTTCCATACTCTTTGGTGAATATCAAGTTGTTATTATATTTTATCTTCTTATCAATTTGGAAGATGTATCATTTTTATACATTTTGTTCATAGAGATACTATGATTCAGCGAAGTGAATTTTTTCAGTATTGCATATATGGTTAGCAGTGAAATTTGAGTTCAAATTCAGGTCAGTCTAGTACAAAAACTGATGTTTGAAAAGTCATTTCATATGTATTTTTTGAATATGTACTATGTGTCATACATCATATAACAGTCCTTGCCCTTATTTTGCCTACTGTCTTGTGGTTGAGAAAGATATTAATAAATATAAAAACAAATGTTTAATTACATTGTGTAAGAACAGTAAAGGGGTCAGGCAGGGTATGGTGAGAGTCAAAAACATGGGAAACTTAGATGGAGGTGGTGGTGTCTAGAATACCTCTTTGTGGAAGTAACATTTGAGGTAAGGATCCAAAAGAGATGGGAGCAAGCAAAGAAAAGGAGAAAGGCTACATTGGCAGAGAGTAGAGGTTGTCTTTCAGGAGACTTTTAGCTAGGAAGAATATTAAAAGAGTTAAAAAAGCTAAAGCGAGGTCAGAACTTCTAGAATGTAGTAACAGACTTTGGATATGAGATGAGGTGGGAGAGAGTGGCAAGGACCAATTTATGTAGGGTCTTTGTATGTATGAGATAAAAAAAACTACCTCCATGAATTAGTTGATGGTATAGCTAAATTTCTTTACCTCAATGTGAGGTAGTTAGTTCTAAGACTTTAGCATAACTTGCTTATCTGTCTGTTCTAGAACCTGTGGTGTCTCAGTTTTTTCAGATAAAAATAAATTGACTTCTCTCAATATGGTTAGTATTTATGGTTAGTATTTATATAGTTTCATTGTATTAGAATAATACCAGAGGAACCATATGCTTAGACTGTCATGTGAAGAACTTTAAAACTTTCCTAACTTGAGATGTAGATCAAATATAACATTGTGCCATTGTGCATTTATCACTCTTTTTTCTTCAGAATTTTTTTTCCCTCCATGGGGCACATTTGCTTGGTGCTCACTGGAGAGAGACAGACAGAGAGAGGAAAAGTGAGAAATCATCCCCCTGCGGGGATGGCCTTGCCACAATCCCTTGTCCTTTATTCTTCTCTTGGGATTTTGGGCGTACATGCTTGGTGTGTATTTCAGGCCACTGGGTCCAGGACTTGAAATGTGGAGTCAGCCACTTAGGATTCAGTGCCTTAACCACCATGCCACCTGCTGGCGCCATTTCAGTTCATTTTAATGAACAATTGAAATAAGATTTTTCGGTGTGTCCTTCAGAATTTTGAAGTTTAGATATATTGTTTCATCTTTTTCAGTCTGAGGGAAAAGGCCATTCCAGTGCTGGAGATGCAATATATGAGGTGGTAAGTCTACAGAGAGAGTCTGACAAGGAGGAACCAGTCACGCCTACTAGTGGAGGTTGTCCAATGTCACCCCAGGAGGAGGAAGCCGAAGATGGTAAGAGGTTGAATTTATTTAGTTCCCTTTCTTTATTTAGCTGCTTTCATCTTCAGTGTGTGAGGTGTGTGTGTGTGTGTGGGGGGGGAAGAATAGTAGTTATTCCTAGACTCTGTCACTGTTAAATTCTGCTAGATGCTGAAGAGAATTTGGTTCATTTTGTTCCTTGGTTGCATAGTTCCCAGTGCCACTTATGCAGCTATTTAAATTTGTCAGCATCACTTCGTTATTTTGGGTTACTATTTTAAGTATTTCTGAAATGTTCAATGAAAAATTTCAAATTCCCTGAAGTGTTTTTAGATTTTTAGTGATATGTCCAAGTTTTTGTTGGGCATTATTCAGTTCTGACTTGTTTTTGTTGCTGTTGCTGTATACCTCAACACACACCTTTTTGAAATAATGTGTTATCTGCTCTGTTTACTACATGGATGCTGTTGAGAGATGCTAACCAATCTCACTGGAGTCACATATCACTTGTCTCTGGGCTTAGCACTCTTATAGAAACTAAAGCTAAGTGACAGATTTTTACTTGAAGCTCTCTTTTATCTGCCTCTAGATAAGGTTTATTAATAGTTTATACATATATATGTATATATGTATGTGTGTATGTATATATATATGTGTATATATATAACTTTTTTTGAGAGGTTTTTGCTATGGGATGTGTACACTCGTCAGACAGAGAGACAGACAGAAAGTGAGAAATCACCCTCCAGGGGGAATGGCCATGCTGCAGTCCCTTCTCCTCCATTCTCCTCTCAGGATCATGGGCATGCATGCACATGAGCCTAGCTTGAGTTTAAGCCACCAGGTCCAGGACTCCAACTGCGGTTGACTACATGGGAGTCCAGTGACATAGCCATTACACCAACTGGTCCCTGTAATTTTTTTTTTTTTTAAGAGAGATTTTTGCTATAGGATGCGGGCACTTGCTGGGGAGACAAAGTGAGAAATCATCCCCCGGGGTGGATGTCTATACCACAGTCCCTTCTTCTCCATTATCCTCTCAGGATTTTAGGTATGCATGCACATGCACCCAGAGTGAGTTTTAAGCTGCCTGGTCCGGCACTTGAACTGAGGTTGACTGTGTGGGAGTCCAGTGACATAACCATTATGCCATCTATTGGTCCTGAATTTATATCACTTTTGAAAAAAGTATCTTAGGATTCTTAGCCTTTTTTTTTTAGAAATCAACCCTTTTGTTGATTGCTATAAAAATAATAGTTCTTTTTAACTAATATTTATTGGGTTCTTACTGTCTTCTAAGCATTGTTCTAAATGTTTCAAATGTTAGCTAATTAATTAGCTTTTAAATTGCCAGAGCACATATTATTTGCCAGAGAGACACACAGAGACAGAGATGAAGAGGGAGAGAACACCCCTTCAGGGGCTGTGATTATACCACAATCTCTTTTCCTCCATTTCTCCATTCTCTTGGGGTTTGAGTATGCATGTACATGTGTTTGATATGTTTTTCAAGCTGCTGGGGCCAGGATTTGAACCATAGTTGGCCATGTGGGATCCATTTTCCTTTACTGCTAGTCTATGGGGCTGGCCTGAATATGTTAACTTACTTGATTCTTGCAATCCTATGAGCACTCTTATTACATTGGTTTTAGGCATAATAAAATGAGGCATAGAGTCTTAAGTCAGTTGCTTAAGGTCACTCATCTTTAATGGACAAAAGTAAGGTCTGAATCCAGGTTGGCTATTATTTGTACTTGTAACTACCACATTATTCTGCCAGTTAACCAAGTGACTAAAGCAAGAAAGAAATTTGGTTTTAAAAAATAAGGTAAAATTCACATAACATAAAATTAATCATGTAAAACTGTACAATTCCGTGGCATTTAGTACATTCACAGTGATGGGGAGCAATGACTTCTATCTAGTTTCAAAACATTTCTGTCATCCAAGAGAAAACACCATATCCATTAAACATTGACTCCCTGTTCTTCCCTTTCCCTAGCTCCTGTCAACAAATCACTTTGTTTCTGTCTCTATGGATTTACCTATTCTGGATAATTCACGTAACTGGAATCATACAAAATGTGACCTTTTGTGTTTGCTTCAGTTAGTTGTTTTGAGTGTATGATCAGGAGTGGAATTGCTAGTCATATTGTAATTCTATATTTTTTGAATGGCTGCCAAAATAGTTTCCACAGGGACCAGCAGTTAGCGTAATGGCTATGTCGCTGGACTCCCACATGGTTGACTGCAGTTCGCGTCCCAGACCTGGTGGCTTAAAACTCATGCCAGGTACATGTGCGTGTGTGCCCAAGATCCCGAGAGGAGAATGGAGGAGAAGGGATTGCGGCGTGGCCATTCCCCCTGGGGGGGTGATTTCTTGCTTTCTGTCTCTCTATCTCTCTCTGTCTGTCTGGCGAGTGCATGCGCTGCCCTATAACACTCGCCAGACCCCACCCCCCCCAAAAAAAAATAGTTCACACAGTGGTTGAACCATTTTGCTTTTCCACCAGCAGTTCCTCTACAGTGCAGACATAGTTTGTTATGTTTTATTTATTTATTTATTTACATTCATTCACTGTACATCATTACAACATACAAAATGAGATTTTCCATCTAGAGTACATTGTATATTGGCTCAATCAAGCATATCAACATATATGTTATCGTCAGCAAATAATTTTCCATTTCTTGTTTCCTATATGTTTTGCTTTTTTCCCCTCATCCTTGATTCCCTATCTCTTACCCTCTGCCATCTACCACTCTCCTCCCACAGTTTCTGGTATCTGTGTTTGCTTTCTATACTGTTTTCCCCCACATTTTATTGAATCACTAAAGATCTTAATTAAACTAAATATTTTCATAGCAAGCACAGCTGATATATACATTTCTATGAACACAAGTCCAACTTTAGGCATAAGCCTTGATGAGTAGATTGAACATCCTATAAAGTAGCACCTAGCTGGGGCTATATATCATACTGCAGTCATCGAATAGGTATTTTTTTTTCCTGAAACTTTTTTTTTCCAACTTAATTTACTTACATTCCTTCCCTAAGCATCATCACAGCATACAAAATGTGATTTCCCATCCAGAATATACTGCATAGTGGCTTAATCATGCATATTATTATCACAAATTTTCCATTTCTAGTTTCTAGAATTTTTTTTTTTACCCCTATTTCTGCCCCTCTGTCCTTTCCCACCCTCTTCTCACACTATCTCTTGTGTCTACAATTGTCTTCCATTCCTTTCCCACCCACATTGTATTGATCACACAGTTTCTTAAATAATCTAACTACTTTCAATAGCAGGTTCACTTGATACTATTAAGAAAACCAGTTTAACTTAAATTAAAGAAATGCTAAGGAACTTTGCTTAAAGCCAGGAAACTGGTTAGGATTCTGATCAAATGATAGGTGCATGAACCTATTCATATCTCAAGACAGGACACAAATCCTTACAACCAGGTAACAAAGTCTACAAGAAAGTCAGCAATATTTTAGTCAAAAGTCATAAAATTATACTTCACCAATTCAGTTTCTTGTACTTTATCTTCTGTTGTGGTTCAGTTTTCCCGATTACATTCTGGGATATAATTTTCAACTTATATTTTACTTTTTAAAAATTTAGCTCTTCTGGTAGATATGAAGCTATACCTGATTGTGGTTTTGATTTGCATTTCCCTGATGACTAATAACGTTGAGCATCTTTTCATGTTCTCACTAGGTATTTGTAAATCTTTGGTGAATTGTTTACTGAGTCTTTACCTATTTAAAAATTGTGTTCTTGGGACTATCAGATGACATAATGGCTATGTCACTGGACTCCCGTATAGTCAACTGCGGTTTGAATCCTGGACCCAGTGGCTTAAACTCACGCCAAGTGTGTGTGTGTGTGTGTGTGTGTGCGTGCGTGCGTGTGTGTGTGTGTGTGTGTGTGCATGCCCAAGATCCCCAGAGGAGAATGGAGGAGAAAGGATTGCAGTGTGGCTATCACCCTGGAGGATGATTCCTTGCTTTCTGTCTCTCTGTCTCTCTCTTTCTGGTGAACGCATGCGCCCTGTAGCAAAACCACTCCAAAAAAATATTGTGTTCTTTCGCGTTTCATTGTCAAGTTCTAATTTTTGTATATTCTGGATACTGAACCCTTATCATTTAGATGATTTGTAAATGTTTTCTCCTGTAAGTTTTCTTGGTAGTGTCCTTAGATGCAAAGGAGTTTTTAATTTTAAAGAAGTACCAGTTGTTCCTTTTTTCTTTTGTTGTGTTTGCTTTTAGTTTCATATTTATTAATTTGTTGCCAGATTAAGATGTCATGGGACCAGCAGTTAGCATAATGGTATGTCGCTGGACTCCCATGTAGTTGACCGCGGTTTGAGTCCTGGACCCAGTGGCTTAAACTCACGCTGGGCGCATGTGCATGCATGCCCAAGATCCCGAGAGGAGAATGGAGGAGAAGGGATTGTGGCGTGGCCATCCCCCTGGGGGGTGATTTCTCACTTTCTATCTCTTTGTCTTTCTCTGTCTCTTTGGCAAGCACATGTGCCCTATGGCAAAAACCTCTCAAAAAAAAAAAAAAAAGATGTCATGAAAATTACCTCTGTTTTCTTCTAAAAAAATTTATGGTTCTTATATTTAGATCTTTAATTCATTTTGAGGTAATTTTTACCATGTGATGAGGTAGGGGTTCACCATTTCTTTGACATAGGCCTATTTGGTTGTTTCAGCACAATTTGTCGCAGAGACTATGCTTTCTCTATCGAATGGTCTTGGCAGTTTGTTTTGAAAATTAATTGAGTAAAGATATATGAGTTTATTTCTGGACACTCAGTTTTTATAAATTCCAGATCTATGTGCTTGCTCTTAGGTTCATACCAAATTGTTTTGATTATTGTAGGTTTATTTTTTTAATTTTAAAAAAAGTTTTGGAGAAGTTTTTGCTATAGGGCACATGCGCTCGCCATACAGACAGAGAGACAGAAAGCAAGAAATCACTCCCTAGGAGAGATGGCCATACTGCAGTCCCTTCTCC